TAACATTTTTTTTGACTCGAAAGGATTATCGTTCTATTAATTTGGTTCTCATTGTATTAATTTGTTCTTTTAACTTTTAATTTGTGTCACTTTAGTTCTTAATCAGATGATTCGTTAAGTTTTTTAACAAAAACAACTACGTGTCATTCTTTTAAAAAGTATCACATTACCAACACGTGTTTATTCCGATTAAAACTTAACAGTCCATTTGTGTAGCAATTATTTAAACACAAATTAAATATTTTAAGAACAAAATTGATACTTAGGGAATCAAACTAACAAAACGTGCATATTTGAGGGACCAAAAATTTTATTAACCCTTGATTTTCAGATCAAAATTTAAAAAATTCGTCTTAAGATTGAGTTAGCATAAATACATTAATGTTATATTATTTGGCCAGTCTAACATCTTTAAGGAATCTTTGCATTCGTAAACTCGAAATACTTACCAATTTTAAGACGTATGAGTTTACAATTTCTTCGAGTCGAACTCCAAATCATTACAATGAATTTCTCCGAGTCGGTGTGGCATTACCTTACACATAAAAGCGTTGTAACCAACTTCCCCTTATCAGTTTATTATAAGTCATTAAAAGATTTTTGTTTGGCAATGAATGGCACATTAAAGGGGAAACACATTAAATGAATGGCATTCTCTCATCTAACTGCTGCTAAGGGCTAGCAAAGTAGTTGGGAAGATAATGAATAAGGCATTGAGTTGCCCACGAGGATGTTGCATCGCATGTGATGAACTTAATTTCTTGTACCCTGTTGGGATTCGGATGCTCTGCTGTTCACAAGGAACAGCAGACTGCGCTCTTCAGCCTAAAACAGTACCGTTTTGGTGCTTTTTTCTTTTTAAAAACTAACCGGCACCGTTCTAATCAGACCCAAAAATTCAAGCCTACATCAGTCCAAAAAAATCCCGCCATTCTTCCCCGCCATGCTTCTCACGGTTAAGACACATCCTCAAACAGATTCCTCGGGCTGGCTCAAAGTAAATTGTGGCCTAAAACGGTAATATTAATTGATATTTTTTTATTTTTAGTATTATTTAAAAAAAAAAAATATTTTAACTTTTTTTTAAGTTTAAGAGGAGGACGTGATACTTTGTTTTTGTTTTTTAAGAGAGAGAGAGAGTAATAGATGAGTAAATATGAGTTAATTTTTAATTTTTTTAATTTATTTTTTTGAGTTTCTAATATTATGGATTGAATAGTAGGCCCAACTTATTGAAATTATAATTTTTTGATTGGACTTAAATTTTTGGAGAATTTAGAAGTCGGTACAATTTTTTAAACTAATTTTGGATAAAAGTACAACTCAAAATCTTATTTGGAATAAAATGTATATTTTTTAAAAATACCAGTATTACCATTCGGTAAACATTGAAAACGTATAACCCATTTGTATTCCTATGTATATTATAGTTTGAATCAATTAATGGGAGGTAAAAAATGAGATTTAATTATCAAAAACTCTTATTTTTAAGCATCCTGATTCTTTGGTATCCTGATTCTATGGCAATGGGATATCCATAGAATGATATAACTGTTTATTATTTCTATTTTAACCATTGAATATTCCACAAAAAAAGGAGTACTACGATAGTTTCAAAATCCGACTGCTCATCGTCGCCGACATCATGTAGAACTTGTTTAGCGTCTCTGTCAACTTCTTCACTGGAAATTTGAGGTGACATTCTATTTTTTTTTATTCATTGATTATTTAGTTTTTTTTTAAAAAACTTGTGTAAGTTGATTCAAAAATAAAACCAAATCATAAAACCCTAATTTTGTGAAATTATATTAAGAATTTGCAAATCTATTATAGCATATGTATATGAAAAAAAACAATTTGGAACATGATTTTTTTGATTAAAAATAGTTACGTAACTGTTTTAAATAACTATTTGAGATTCAAATATAGACTTTTTTTATTCAAATTTAATGAGTTTAACTGTGTTGCGTAATTATTCTTTTGATTTTAAGGATTCAATTCTTATTAGTCTGTTATTGACAAATTTTTGGTTCATGATTTTTTTGATTAAAAATAGTTATATAACTGTTTTAATTAACTATTTGAGATTCAAATATAGACAGTTCATTTTCAAAATTTTATTGGGTCTAACTGTGTTGTGTAACTATTCTTCTGATTTTAAGGATTTAATTCTTATAAGTCTGTTATTGGCAACTTTATGGTTCACAAATTTTTTGATTAAAAATAGTTACGTAACTGTTTTAAGTAACTATTTGAGATTCAAATATTGACAGTTCATATTCAAAATTTAATGGATTTAATTGTGTTGCGTAACTATTTTTATGATTTTAAGGATTCAATTTTTTTATTTGTTATCGATAACTTTGTTGATTAACTGTTGAATAACTGTCTTGAATATCTGTTATTGAATCAAGCATATTGTTAACGGTCTTTTTGTCTCTGTGGATTAATTGTTGTTCCCATTCTTAATGGAGGTAAGTCAAAAAAAGAGGTCAAATCAATTCTAATGTGATATTTGTATGGCCATTTCAATGGGTTACCCAATTCAGATTTTGGGTATAGTATCTTATCAAGACTCAAACACAAGTAACAATTCACCATTTTCAACACACCAACATTGGTGTTGAAATAAATATTTGTGCCTTAAACAAGCAATATTGGACAATTCATCTAAGAATTTAGTTTTACATTCATGAGAATGCTTTGATCTTTTCACCGCAGTAACAGTTCCTGATTCTATGAAAAAGGCTTAGTAAACAGTGCCAAATGCCTTTTGTGACTGACTTGAGTTCTTTGTATCAGAAAGCTCTTGGGGCTGTAAAAACATTAATACAAATTAATTAATTAATTATCTATGTACTGAGAGAAAAACCTAAAACAACAAAAATTTACAAATATACAGGATCTTCCAAAATAAATATTGGTTGGAAAATTGCACACAATAGCATTTATATTAAAATATAACTCTAATTAAAAAACAATCACACCTATTAAAAACCAAAACAATTTTTTTCCCATTCATCCCAAAAACGAACAACATATAGCAATCTTTGATTAATAATCTGAGAATAAAATAAAACAATTAACAAACAATGAGATATTAACATTTTTTTCGAAAACATACATTAATGTCAATACCCAAAAATAGTTACACCAATTTTAAAAACAGTTACATCCATTAAACTCAAAACCAGTTTTTTTTTTCCCATTAATTCCAACAATGACCAAACATACACAAAAACGAATATATGTATTCCCCCCAAAAAAATGATCGAATTATAGAAGAAATATAATTATTTTGCCTATACTAAAAATATTTCCACCCATGAGAAACAGTTACAACCATTAAGATCAAAACAATTTTTTTTTCCTTCATTCCAACAAAAAATGAACATAAAACAAAAATCGAACATAGAAATTTCTCAAATAAAAAATGACCAAAAAAAGAAGAAATATAATTATTAACAATTTACCTTCAATCTGATGACGAAGATTGGTATTTGCAATTCCTTTTTCAAAGAAAATCACCACTGGAGAAATAAATCACTGTCGAAAAAGACTTATTTTGAAGAAGACTTATCAGTTGAACACGTACGTTTGATTCAAAAAAATAAAGATAACAAATATGTAAAGATTACATATTTGTTTTCTAAAATAACTGTCAATAGATGCATAAATCTCTCACAAAAATGCTCATTCAAAATTCAAAAATACAAAGATAACAAATATGTAATCTTTATATATTCATTTCCTAAAATAACTGTTAATCATGGCTGCATAAAATAAGGAAGAATGTTTAAGTAAAAAATATTTTAATTCATTTAAATTTTGTACCTAAACATAAAAAATATTATACAAATTGTACTTAATAGAATAAACCATTTACCCATACACTTTTGCTCAAATAAGTATTGAAAATTATAACCACACCTAAAAAACTCTAAATTGGGGCCTTTTTATAAGACCTAAAATGTTCATGGATCTAAATTTTTTATATGGACTAGTTATGTACTTACAATTATGAGGCCTTCTAAAAATTTGGGGCTTAAAACCTATTTTTTTTTTTTTAGGTTGGCCTGAGCTTCCTTCTTCCTCATTCCTTGCATAAGATTATCCCTCCANTAGGTTGGCCTGAACTTCCTTCTTCCTCTTTCCTTGCATAAGATTATCCCTCCACCAATTTTTAAAATCTCATTTTGTCTCTTTCTGGATATTGGTTCAATATTGTTTTGTGTCAAAACTGCTCTCTTCCTTCTTCCTTGCATTCAAATGGTTCAAATCGTTTTTTCAAGCTGATTTTATATAGCCAGAATTACAGGTAAATATGATAAATTTTTATAAAGTGAAAATAGAATATTTATAACACTCTTAATATTTAGGGAGAATTACACCTTGACCTCCTGAAGTTTGTTACTTAATCACTCAAACCTCCAGAGATTTGAAATATGACGTACAGACCTCTTGAAGTTTGTACGTGTATAACACTTAGACCCTTGCCGTCAATGTCCGTTAGTAAATTATACTCAGATCTTCTAAAGTTTGTAGACATAAAATACTTAGATCCTTTAAGTTTAAAATGTTATATTGTTGGTCTTTGATCAGTATTGGATTGGTATTGCCCGCTAGTTTGTCAAAGTTTATTAGTTGAATTTTTTGCTTCAAATTTTATCATGTACTGAAAACTATAATGGAGGCAACTAGGGTTAATAGAATTGCCAACACTCCGAGTATTGGCATGCAGTTTGACTAGGAGGAAGATGTTTATGAGTTTTATAACAAATATGGTGGTTCGATTAGGTTTAGTGTGAGAAAAGACTATCACAACAAAAATATGTTTGCTACAAAGAGGGGCAAAGAGAAGTGGATAAAAGGAATTTTTTTTCTTGGTCAAAGCAAACAAGATAATCATATCATTAAGTAGGAAAATTGAGATTACAATCAGTTAAAAGAAAAGTCGTAAGCTCGCCTAGGGGGGGGGGGACCCTAACCAATTCTCTTAATCGA